CGGCGCAGGGGGGAACCATCGACGCCTCCGGAGGCCCATTCTCAGAGGCCTATAGCCTAGAGGTCGATGCCAACTCCAGCGATCGGCTGTTGTCTCCACCGAGGGAATCTGATCCCGATCTCGGCGGTGGTGGTAGTAGTCCTGTTCGGGCCCCTTGGATGGCCCAAAGACAACCAGCACCAAAACCGAGGATCATTTTCCCCAGGTGAAGACACCCCCCCCTGCTTCGGGGGCGGACAGACCTCCTACCGTGACATGTCGATTAGCGAATTGGCCGTTTCCGGTTCGCGAGAGGGCGTCGCGGCCGTCATGCTTGCGCTTCCAGGTCCGTCCGCTTCGGCCCCAGGCCGCTTTCACTAAAGGGAGGTTAATGAAGGCCTGTCCACCGCCGATTGCTCTCTTGTGTTGGCGCCCATCTCCGGACCTCCGACGTCCATCGCCGACTGGGGGTCCGACCGCTCGCCCCGCCCGAGGAGCGCGCGGCCTCGCTGTCTCGGGGGCCCCTCTCTGCGATCCATCGGCGATTGCATCGGCGACTCTGGGTCGATGCTTCGACCCTTGGGGCCAGCCCCCCCCCCGTCTCGGGGGTGGACAGAGCCCCCAACCTGACGCGGCGATTTGTGAACTGTCCGCTTTCGGTCCTCGCGGGAGCGCCGCGGGCCGTCTTTTTTCAGGCTTGCGCCCGCCAGCTTTGGGCCCGAGGTCGTTTTCATGTGCAGTCGGCCCGGATTAGTAGGTCGACCGTGCCAAATCAAGGGTACCATGGTGTCCTGTGCCTCGCGACACGTGCCTTCCTACACTCCAGTGGCGATGTGGCCCTTGGAAGGGTCTTGCGTCCTTTCGCGTGTCCTGCCCAATCAAGGCCGACTGCAAGCCACGTTTTATTAAAGGGGGTTCTGTCCCCCCACTGTCGTGAAGGGCTTGCTTGAGCGACGCCTGCCGCCCCCCTCGGCTCGAGCTGGAGAGAGCGCGACTTGCACAGCCAGTTCCCTGGAGATCTTTGGATCCGTTTTGATCTGCCAGGATCTGCCGGGATCTATTTGGATGTATGTACGTTTCGCTTGATCTATCCAGCTTGATCCCCACAAGTCCATGGGCGAACATTTGTCAAGGCCTTGGAACTCTACGGTGGAGGCGTTGGTTAAGGAATGCGCCCAGGAGGCTCCAGACCCTGGAGGATTCCTTATCTCATGAGGGCGGTGGCGATACCCATGGCCGACCCACAACTGGAGCGCCGCTGGTTTCCAGACCCTGGATTCCTTATCCAAGGTTTCCTTATCCAATGCCTCCACCGTCCGTAGCCATTCTGGCTCAAGTCTGCTCGGGCGACCGCGGCGCGGGCGGCCGCGGCGCGGGCGGCTGAGAGACGGCGGCGGGGGGCCGCCCGCCTGAGAGGCGGCCCATGCGCATGGGGGAAGAAGCTCGGCTCGGAGCCGCAGCGGCGCGGCGTGAGGCGAGACGCAGGCGGCCGATGGCTTGTGAAGCTGGTCTACGCCGAGCTTTTGGGGGCGGGGAAGGGGCCCGGCCCGGTTCGCGGAGGGGTCGCGAGGCGGCGCCCCGCCCAGCCCTGAGAGCGTCGGCAGCGGGAAGGAGAGTCCGTGGCAGCTCCCGTCTCCGCCGCAACGTGGCGCGGCATGCTGCTCAGCCGCTTCCCCACGGGTTTGCGAGGGCCTCGAGGGCGGGCCTCGCGCGGGCGGCTGCGGGGCCACGTCCGGGGGCCTTTGGCGGGGGCGCGTCTGGGCCCGCGCGCGAGGCGCTGGAGGCGCAGAGCCCAGGGGCAGGCGGCGACGCGGGCAGCGCGCTGCAGTCCACCGCGGCGGCGCGGCAGCCGTTCGCGGCGCGCCCGTTCCAGCAGCTGCAGCCCCGCGCCCCGGGGGTCCGGTCAGTTCGCGACGAAGTGGCCGAAGGCCGCGCGCTGGCATTCGGGCAGGGCCTGGAAGCTGGATGGCGGCTGGCGGCTTCCGCTCGGGAAGGCAGTGAGGGATCCAGTCGAGCGCGGAGGGCGTGGTCTTTGCGGACCCCCCGCCCCCCCTCCTGGGCCTGGCTCGGACAGGTGCTTCAGCCACCGCGCGCAGGGCGGCTGCGACCTCATGGACGTTGAGGTCGCCGGGGTCGCCCGCGACGCGGAGGGCGTTTGCCGCGGCGAGGCGGGCGGCTCGTCAGTCGAGGCCTCGTCGGAGCTGCGCGCGCGGGAGGAGCTCGAGCAGGATGTGGACCGTAGCTTCAGCCGCCGCGTGCGGGGCGACCTCATGGACGTCGAGGTCGTCGGGGTTGTCCGCGACGCGGAGGGCGTTGGCTTCGGCGAGGCGGGCGACTCGTCGGTCGAGGACTCCTCGGAGTTGCATGCGCGGGAGGAGCACGAGCAGGAAGACGCCGAGGGCGAGTTGGCGAGCGGCCCCTGCGGCCCGCAGTCGGGGGCCGAGGCGGACGCCAAGCTCAGCGGCCTCGTGTTCGGCATCTTGAAGGGGCTCGACCTCTCCATGGTCCACTACGTCAACCCTTGTCACGAGCTAGTCAGCGGGGCGGTACCCGCACGCCTGGAGGTCATGGGCGTTGCGCGGCCGCCCTGGACTGACGGCGGGGCGCAGGCCTTCGCGCGTGGTTACGCGGAGGGGAATCGCGAGCAGAGGGCGGCGGCGGCGCGCGGGGGCGAGGGGCCCCAGGCAGGCGAGCCCTAGGCGGCGGGCTTGTTCCTGGGGGGCCCGCCCGCGCCTCTCTGCACGACATTCGAAACGCGGGTGGGTCCGCTCACCCTCGAAGAGCTAAAAACAAATGCCTCCGCCGTATTTTGATGGATTGACGTTTAGTTTGATCCATCCAGCTTGGTCCCCACAAGTCGATGGGCGAAAAGTTGTCAAGCCCTTGGGGCTCTGCCCTTCCCTGGAGATCTTTGGATCCATTTGGATTCCCCAGGGCCTGCTGGGATCTACGGTGGAGGCGTCGGTTAAGGAATGCGTCCAGGAGGCCCCAGACCCTGGGGGGCTCCTTATCTCATGAGGGCGGTGGCGATACCCATGGCCGACCCACAACTGGAGCGCCGCTGGCTTCCAGACCCTGGATTCCTTATCCAAGGTTTCCTTATCCAATACCTCCACCGTCCGTAGCCATTCTGGCTCAAGTCTGCTCGGGCGACCGCGGCGCGGGCGGCCGCGGCGCGGGCGGCTGAGAGACGGCGGCGGGGGGCCGCCCGCCTGAGAGGCGGCCCATGCGCATGGGGGAAGAAGCTCGGCTCGGAGCCACAGCGGCGCGGCGTGAGGCGAGACGCAGGCGGCCGATGGCTTGTGAAGCTGGTCTACGCCGAGCTTTTGGGGGCGGGGAAGGGGCCCGGCCCGGTTCGCGGAGGGGTCGCGAGGCGGCGCCCCGCCCAGCCCTGAGAGCGTCGGCAGCGGGAAGGAGAGTCCGTGGCAGCTCCCGTCTCCGCCGCAACGTGGCGCGGCATGCTGCTCAGCCGCTTCCCCACGGGTTTGCGAGGGCCTCGAGGGCGGGCCTCGCGCGGGCGGCTGCGGGGCCACGTCCGGGGGCCTTTGGCGGGGGCGCGTCTGGGCCCGCGAGCGAGGCGCTGGAGGCGCAGAGCCCAGGGGCAGGCGGCGACGCGGGCAGCGCGCTGCAGCCCACCGCGGCGGCGCGGCAGCCGTTCGCGGCGCGCCCGTTCCAGCAGCTGCAGCCCCGCGCCCCGGGGGTCCTGTCAGTTCGCGACGAAGTGGCCGAAGGCCGCGCGCTGGCATTCGGGCAGGGCCTGGAAGCTGGATGGCGGCTGGCGGCTTCCGCTCGGGAAGGCAGTGAGGGATCCAGTCGAGCGCGGAGGGCGTGGTCTTTGCGGACCCCCCGCCCCCCCTCCTGGGCCTGGCTCGGACAGGTGCTTCAGCCACCGCGCGCAGGGCGGCTGCGACCTCATGGACGTTGAGGTCGCCAGGGTCGCCCGCGACGCGGAGGGCGTTTGCCGCGGCGAGGCGGGCGGCGCGTCAGTCGAGGCCTCGTCGGAGCTGCACGCGCGAGGAGTTCGAGCAGGAAGTGGGCGGGAGACTCAGCCGCCGCGTGCGGGGCGACCTCATGGACGTCGAGGGCGTCGGGGCTGTCCGCGACGCGGAGGGCGCTGGCTTCGGCGAGGCGGGCGACTCGTCGGTCGAGGACTCCTCGGAGTTGCATGCGCGGGAGGAGCACGAGCAGGAAGACGCCGAGGGCGAGTTGGCGAGCGGCCCCTTCGGCCCGCAGTCGGAGGCCGAGGCGGGCGCCAAGCTCAGCGGCCTCGCGCTCGGCATCTTGGAGGGACTCGACCTCTCCATGGTCCACTACGTCAACCCCTGTCACGAGCTAGCCAGCGGGCCGGTATCCGCACGCCTGGAGGTCATGGGCGTTGCGCGGCCGCCCTGGACTGACGGTGGGGCGCAGGCCTTCGCACGTGGTTACGCGGGGGGGGATCGCGAGCAGAGGGCGGCGGCGGTGCACGGGAACGAGGGGCCCCAGGTAGACGAGCTCTAGGCGATGGGCTTGTTCCTGGGGGGCCCGCCCGCGCCTCTCTGCACGACATTCGAAACGCGGGTGGGTCCGCTCACCCTCGAAGAGCTATAAACAAATGCCTCCGCCGTATTTGGACGCAGTGACGTTTAGTTTGATCCATCCGGCTTGATCCCCACAAGTCGATGGGCGAAAAGTTGTCAAGCCCTTGGGGCTCTGCCCTTCCCTGGAGGTCTTTGGATTCATTTGGATTTCCCAGGATCTGCTGGGATCTACGGTGGAGGCGTCGGTTAAGGAATGCGTCCAGGAGGCCCCAGACCTTGGGGGATTCCTTCTCTCATGAGGGCGGTGGCGATACCCATGGCCGACCCACAACTGGAGTGCCGCTGGCTTCCAGACCCTGGATTCCTTATCCAAGGTTCCCTTATCCAATGCTTCCGCCGTATTTGGATGTGTTTACGTTTAGCTTGATCCACAGCTTGATCCCCACAAGTCGATGGGCGAAAAGTTGTCAAACACTTGGGACTCTACCCTTCCCCCTCAAGGCAGGGGGCCTGGCCCCGGCGAGCCCGGCTTCGCGGCGCACGCGCGCGCGGCGCTGGAGCTCCGCGGGAGGCGTGATGCCCAGGCTTCGGCACGAGCTGATCCGCTTCGGTGCCGACATTTTCACGCCGTGGAAGACATGGTTCTTAATGTTTTTCGCAGTTTTTGTCCTCCCGGGGCCCTCCCAGAACTGATAGAGAACGGCTCTGGACGAATATACCGTCGGGTCTAGGACCCGCTCCCCTTAGGACCACTCAGATGCATGCGAATTTTCTTCGGCCACTTTTTCTGGAAGGCCCCTTTCGGGCCCCAGGGCCATCAGGCATTGGCCCGAGGCAGACAGGTGCTCCTTGCGGGGGGGCGCCCGCGGGCCGGGAAAAACATACATCGCTGGATGCTTGGGCAAGTTGCACCACCTCCAACGTCTGGCCAGGGCCGCGGCCCCTGGATGGCAGAGTGACGTATAATGCAACCAAGCGATTGAAGAAATGTCCGGGGGGTGGTCGCTGCGCCTCATTCAGAAGTGGACAAGTGAAAAGATACTTCCGATTCGTCGTCGTCGTCGCCTCGAGGCCACCAGGCCGAAGCCAGCGACCTAGACAAGAAATAGAACTTCGGCTGGTCATCCCTGTGCGATGTGTTGTTGTGTCGTCTGGTCGCATTCCAACGTCCAAAACCGAACGATGAGCCTGGCCAGGCACGGTGGTGGTGCAGTGGATGCCTCCTGCGCAGGAGCGGATCCGCCCGGAGGCCTCGTGCGCGAGGTCCGTGCCGCCCAAACGGTGCCAGAGTTCGGGCGAGGAGGTCCGACCCTTGAGATCCAGGCGTTGCAATTTGTTCACAAAAATCGTTGTCGCCAGGCTACACCACCACATACCGATCTACATTGGAAGAAAATTACGGCAGAAAGGTTGGGTCTAGCCGGACGGGGTTAGCATCGATATAAATCCGTTCCAGAGCGTTCCAGAACGCTCTCAGAGCAATCCAGAACGCCCTGAAACGGCCGCGGCGCCCGATACATCCTACGAACCGCCGATTCTCAGGTATTTCAGATTTATATCGGTCCGGCGTTGTCTCGATTCTAGCTTCGTCTTATAAGGCTTCAGTCGCGATGGTTGTCCAAGGCTTTATTTTTTTCGCGACGCCGGAGCTCAGGTGTAAGGGGTGCCTCCTCATATTCGGCATGTTGGTCGCCCACTTCGAGCCCGGACCCCAACAAAAACAAGCTGGGTGCAAAACAAACAAGGTAAAAATTGTGGAGGAGTCCAGGGACAGACTCAGATTTGGTATCGCTCCGACGTGTGCACTTTTCCTCGGCGGGGATGATTCAGGAGCATCCTGGATCAGCCTGCGAAAAAACCACGCACCTAACCAAAACAAAAGCACAGGGAATGGACGTCCGAGCGACGGGGAGCAGATCGGGCGAAGAGAACTATGCACATGCACCGATCCTGGCAAGGCCCATCCTTGACCCAGGATCGGTGCATATGCCTTCCTGGCCAAGGTAGGAGGGCGTATGCACCGATCCTGGGCTCAGGATGGGCCTGGCCAGAATCGGTGTATGTGCATAGGTATTTTTCCTCTAGCAGAGTGGATGTTGCCCACCCCCTGGACCCTTCGAGCCAGGGAGCCGCGCAGGAGCAGTCATCGACGCCTCGGTCGCCGCGGCGGCACTCGCCTCGGGGTCCTGGCAGGAGCGCGCGCACCCCAGGGAGAGGTCCGGTTGGAGCAGCAGCAGCGGTACTCCAGGGCATGTCAGGGATGCGGCTTCAGAAATGAGACCCACGCTGGAGCCCGAGCACCTTCGCCAAGGTCTGACACTTCAACACGAAGACACGCTATAGGCGGAACGCTATCGAATCACAGACCATGTGGACATGAGATCAACGCTAAAGCGGGGGTACTCCAGATCTCGTAATAAAAGGGAGGGGGCCTGGACCCTCCAAGACAAGCCATTTCAGACCCCCCCCTCGTGGGAGAGCCCTCCAAAACATCGTCCCCAGACCCCCCCAGGCCCTCCAAGGTAGCCTGGAAGAGACCCCCCCCGAAATGAGACCCCCCTCCCTTTATTTCGAAATCTGGAGTACGTTTGCTCACCACCTTTCCACCTTTAGCTTTGCATCGCTCGGGCGTGCGCATTTTCTCTAGGCGAGACCCATCGAGGACCATCCTGGACCATCGAGCAACAAAAACACACGCACGAGACCGACAAGTGCACGGGAAATGGACGTCCGAGCGACGGCAAGTGAAGCGGAAGGTGGACAAGGTGGACCCCTGTTGCTCGCCGCTTTCGTGTAATGGCGCCCTGTGCGCTCGCTCCCACGGCTTGCATGCTCCCCCAAGAGCGACTGGGGTCCGAGGATCGATCCGCATCGCCCACGCGCGAGCCGCGGCCCGGCCTTCCCACCCCGACGTCGCCGATGCATTCGCAGTGTGTTGCGATGCTTGGACCCCGCCCTTTCTGGCTCCATCTGAGCGACCTCCACGAGGTTCAGAGGAAGGTACCGATACGGCTACCCTTGCCTCGTTTTCGCCTCTGTGGGCCTCCTGGAAGGTTCTCGTCGCCACGGCTGGACCACCTCTGGTCAGGACGCACCACGGGAGAAATCCAGGGAGTTGGTACTAGTATGGGTAACCTCATGCCTTTTCGTTTTCCCAGAGGTCGGAGTGCCCCCCGCTGCTGCCCCACCAGGCCGCCGTGGCCTTCCTGCTGCAGCCAGGGTCGCCAGTGAGCCGGCTGCTGGTGGACCAGCCCACGGGCTCTGGCAAGACGCGCGAGATGATCGCGGTGCTCGACGGTTTCTTCTACGACCGGCGGCCGAAGATCCCGGTGTTCCCGCGGTCCGCTGTCTGTTGGAACTTCTACGAGGAGTTGCTGCGCTGGCCATCCCGCTACAGGGACTTCTTCTGCTTCGCCAGGCCGGAGCGGGCCGCGCTTGCCGCCGGCCTGGGCCCAGGCGGGGACTGGCGCGAGCGGCGGCCGCACTGCTGGCCGATTGCGCGGCTCGGCGCCCCGCAGCTGCGCGCCCTGTGCCGGGAGCTGCGGGAGGTGCTGGAGATGAAGAGCACCATCGCGCACGGCCGGTTCCGCCCCGGCGTGCGCAGGCGGCTGCGCGCCGAGCGGCCGGGGTGCCCGCTGCCGGGGGCGCCGCTGCGCGCGCTGAGCTACGCGTCGGCGGGCGGCAGCTTTTCTGCCCTCGGGAGGGGCGGGCGCCCCCTGTCGGCGGTGCTGAAGTTCGGCTTCCGTGGGGGCCAGTGCCCGTTCTCGCACAAGGTGGTGCTGCTGGACGAGGCGCACAATCTGGTCCGGGCGCAGACGTTGTTCGGCCGGCAGCTCGCAGAGCTGCGCCGCCAGCTGGAGATCGCGGAAGGGAGCGTCGTGGCGGGCTTCACTGGTACGCCCGTGTCCGACGAGCCGGCGAGCGGTCGCCGCTTGTTGGATATCTTCAAGGGCAGAAGCAGCTCTGGCTGCGACGAGGGTTTCCTGGCCTCGCTGGCAAAGCCGCCGCCAGGGCTGTTCCCCGCTGTGTTTTCGGCCGACGGCACGGCTGAGGCGGACCTCTCGCCGCGAATGGTGGCAGGGATGTGCAGAGCGGTGGAGCTACGCAGTGAGACGCTCAGGTCGTATGCCGTCAAGTCGCTCGAGAACAAGCGGCACCTGAAGGTCTACTGCAACCTCGCTTCCCACAGCACCGCTTTCCACGGTAGGACCAAGGATGTGATGCTGCAGCGGCCCAGAGACTGGATGCCCAAGCTGGCCACCATCGCCGCAGCCATCGCCCGGAGGCGCGAGAAGGCGGCGGTGCTCGTGAGTCGACAGGGCGGGTACGCAGCGATGTTGGCGTGCATGCGGCAGGTTGCCGCGAGGGCGTCGCCTCCATTCTCCGTCGTCGGCGGCGACCGCCTCGCCGACTTCAACGATGTGGCCAATAGCCGTGGCGATCAGATTCGCGCCCTCGTCGCCGATTCTAACCAGTTCTCGGAGGGCGTGTCCTTCCGTGCCGTGCGGAGGCTATATTTGGCGGACGTGCCCCACAGCGCGTGCGCGCTGCGGCAGCAGTGCGGCAGGGTGGCGCGCATGTTCGGCCACCACGACCTGAGGCCAGAGGAACGGGCAGTCGTGGTCGTCCTGCCCGTCGCCAAGCTGCCCGCCTGGGCACGGAGCCCGCTGGCCACGTGGTGTTTCGGGGCCTTCTGCCAGGCAAACTGCGACTCGGCGGAGGCCACCGACCTGGCGCAGGGGCTGCTTCAGCGCCTCGCCGAGATGGGCATCGGCAGCCTGGAGGGCCTGAAGGACCGCCTCCACAAGGAGCAGGGCGCGAGGCCGAGCTGCGAGGCGGCCACTGCGACAGCGCTGCCCCGAGAGACCGTCGCACGGCTGCTGCGGCAGTTCGGGCTCGGCAGAAAGAAGTACGTGGCGGACGCGTCGAACAAGAATTTTGGGCGACTGTTCGTCCCCTTGCAGGAGGACTTGACGGTGCCCTGCCGGCTGCGGCCGTTGGCAGCCTCATTGCAAGAGCTGCATTGCGCTACCTCTGCGGCGCAGGCGGCCCCTGCGCTCACCGGGCGCACGGCTGACGAGGCGGCGGTGGAGGCGCTGAGGTCCCAGCTGCTCTGCCAGGCCAGCGAGCTCGCGCAGCTGCGGCGCGCGGCGGTAAACTGCGGCGGTGCGCCCGCGGGCGGCAACAGTGGTGCGACCCCGGCGGCGCCGGCGGAGGCCGCCGCGACGGAGCACGGTTGGGCGTCGGCGGAGGAGGAGCAGGAGGCGGCGGCCAGCGCGGGCGGCGAGCCTGCGCTTGTTGGCGAGCCTGGCGCGGCAGAGGCGGGCTGGAAGCTGGACGTCCGTCAGCGCCGCCCTCTCGATTCGCGGGCCCCACCGCCGCAGCACGGCTGCGGCGCCGCGGACGCGCCAGCGGGCAGCCTGAAGCGGAGGCCCCCGCAGGTGCTGCCTGGCGCCGCCGCAGGCGCAGTCTCGACGTCGGAAGCGGGCAGCTTCGCAGATGACGCGCTGTGGCTGCAGGCCCTGGACGACGCCGTGGCAGCGGCGCCGCTGAGCTGCGTGGTGCCAGGGGAGGCCTACCGCAGGGCGATGGAGGACATGGGCGACGTGGGCGACGGGGAGGTGGTGCCAGACGTTGCCGAGGACGCCGCGGACGCGGGGGAGGCGCGGAGCGCCAAGCGCGGAGGCGCCAAGGGCGGACGCCCCAGGCGCGGGAGCGCTGCGCCCGAGAGGCCCGGCACCACGAGGGCGCCGTCGGTGGACGGCGGCGCCGCCGAGCGCCCGGGCGCCGAGCCCGACGTGGCCGGCGGTCGGAAGGCCCTGCAGGCGAAGCTTACGTCGGGCCTGTCCCTCTACATGGGGAATCTTCTAGGGCGACGAGATCTATACATATCCACTGCTCCCTGGCCAGGCCCATCCTGTGCACCCAGGAGCTGTGTATACGCCCTCCTGGCCAAGCTAGGAGGGCCTCGCGTATACACCGCTGCCGGGCTCACGATGGGCCTGGCCAGGGAGCAGTGGATATGTATAGACTTCGTCGCCCTATCTTCAAAAATAGTGACAAAAATAGTCTGGTGACTATTTGTTTCGTATTTTGGGGCATCTTTTGAACATTTGTTGCGTATGTTTTATGTTTCGTCCAAAAACCCCCCTGGAGGGGGACAGGCCCGACCTAAGGCTAAGCGCCGGGGCGCGGCCGCGGCCGATGCCAAAAAGAGGGCGCGCGGCAGTCCGGCGCTGGCGCCTCCTGTAGTGGTAGCCCGTGAGGGGGCCGCGGACGACCCTCCTCGGGGCCTCGCCGGGGACTGCGAGCGGCTGTGGAGGCGCTTCTCGCCCGCCGTGGTGGACGGCGCGAGGTGTGCCGCGCGCGTGTGGGGCAACGGCCGAGGGGGACAGTGCGGTTTTGCACGCTGCGGGGAGCTGGAGTACTGCGTGATCCGCCAGGCTGGCGCTCGTTGCATCCGCCGGCCCTTTGTAATCTGATTGTGGTGAGGGCGGGTCGGGTGGGATCAGAGCCCGCGCGCGCCGATCGTATGCGAATCCGCCCATGGAGGCCGTAGAGGGCACACCATGGGCACGTGGGACGTGAAACGCAAGAACCCTGAGATCCTATGGCTTGATGTGTTCAATAGAGGGTTCCCAGAAGTATCGACCCCATCACGGGGACCGTCTTTTCATCCTGAGGCGTTGTTTGACGGTCTTGGGGACCGGCCAAAGCAGCAAATCAAAATCCGTCTTGGGTGTTTCAATCATGCGGTGGAGGTATAGGAATACGGGTCAAGACGGGCACGTTTAGTGCGTGCGAACTCGCCCGTTGCGGCCGTAGTGGCGCCATTTTGGGGCGTGAAGCGTGTGGAGAGTTTGTCAGACTTGCACGCCTGCTGGGTTCATCATGAGGCCCTCCCACAGGGCGCGAACTTAACGGCGGATTGGCCAGAACGAGCACGCAAGCAACAGCCCCAGAGTCCCGACGCATGAGAAAAAATGACCCTGGCGAAGGACCCAAGCACATGCACTTGTGATTGCCTTGTTGTGGGTACCGCTCCCAGCGGAGCTCACGGAGCCACGACCCTCGTGAGGGGTGTGCCGAAATGGGCTGGGGGACACATGCGGACCCTGCCGCAGGGGCCTTCGGTGGAGCTCCCTATGGGACCACGACCCTCGTGAGGGGTGTGCCGAAATGGGCGGGGGGACGCATGCGGACCCTGCCGCGGAGGCCTTCGGTGGAGCTCCCTATGGGACCACGATCCTCGTGAGGGGTGTGCCGAAATGTGCGGGGGGACGCATGCTGACCCTGCCGCGGGCGCCTTCGGTGGAGCTCCCTATGGGGCCACGATCCTCGTGAGACGCGTGCCGACATGGGCGGCGAGACGCATGCGGACCTTGCCGATGGGGCCTTCGGTGGGGCTCCCCATGGGGCCACGATCCTCGTGAGGGGTGTGCCGAAATGGGCGGGGGGGCGCATGCTGACCCTGCCGCTGGGGCCTTCGGAGGAGCTCCCTATGGGACCACGACCCTCGTGAGGGGTGTGCCAAAATGGGCGGGGGGACGCATGCGGACCCTGCCTGCCGCTGGGGCCTTCGGTGGTGCTCTCCATGGGGCCACGATCCTCGTGAGGGGTGTGCTGAAATGAGCGGGGGGACGCATGCGGACCCTGCCGCTGGGGCCTTCGGTGGTGCTCTCCTTGGGGCCACGATCCTCGTGAGGCGTGTGCCGACATGGGCCGGGAGACGCATGCGGACCTTGCCGCTGGGGCCTTCGGTGGTGCTCCTTATGGAACCATCATCCTCGTGAGGGGTGTGCCGAAATGGGCGGGGGGACGCATGCGGACCCTGCCGCTGGGGCCTTCAGTGGAGCTCCCTATGGGACCACGATCCTCGTGAGGCGTGTGCCGAAATGTGCCGGGAGACGCATGCGGACCCTGCCGCTGGGGCCTTCGGTGGGACTCCCCATGGGACCACGATCCTCGTGAGGCGTGTGCCGAAATGGGCGGGGGGGCGCATGCGGACCCTGCCGCAGGGGCCTTCGGTGGTGCTCCCTATATGGCCACGATCCTCGTGAGGGGTGTGCCGAAATGGGCGGGGGGACGCATGCGGACCCTGCCGCTGGGGCCTTCGGTGGAGCTCCCTATGTGACCACGATCCTCGTGAGGGTGTGCCGAAATGGGCGGGGGGACGCATGCGGACCCTGCCGCTGGGGCCTTTGGTGGGACTCCCCATGAGGCCACGATCCTTGTGAGGGGTGTGCCGAAATGGGCGGGGGGACGCATGCGGACCCTGCCGCTGGGGCCTTCGGTGGGACTCCCCGTGGGGCCACGATCCTCGTGAGGGGTGTGCCGAAATGGGCGGGGGGCGCATGCGGACCCTGCCGCTATGGGACCACGATCCTCGTGAGGGGTGTGCCGAAATGGGCCGGGGGACGCGTGCGGACCCTGCCGCTGGGGGCCTTTGGTAAAGCTCCCTATGGGGCCACGAACCGTGTGAGGGATGTGCCAGAATGGGATGGGCATGCGGAGAGCAGAGGCAAGGGATGGGAGGAGGGAGGAGGGGGGAGGGGGCAGCAGGAGGAGTGACGCGCGGCGCTCTCTTTTCAAAACGAGGACCCAATACCACAGGATGGTTGGGAATGAGACGGGTTTTTGTTTGCCGTGTTCGGCTTAAGATGCCCCTTGCAAAGTTTGGGATTGAAAAACAACTCAGGATGAAAAGACGGTCCTAGGAAGGGGTCGAGATTTCTGGGGACCCCGTATTGGAAACATCAAGACGCAGGATCCCTGGGACTGCAGCGACAGGCCCGAAACAGCAGGCTTAGCGGTTGAAATGGGCATAGCAGTAGCAGAAACAGCAGGGCGCGAGGAGGCGGACAGGGATGTGGGACGGGCGGCGCTGCGCAGCGCAGGCAGGACGAGGATCCAGTTCCGAAGAGCAGGGCTCTGAGCGAGTGCGTGAGGGGCGGCCCAGAACGAGTGGGGCGGCCTGCCGGGGATGCCCCCCCCGCTTGGGGCCACGGTGGGGACCACGGCAAGTTCGCGTCGTGCCGACGCGGCGCCAACCCCTCCGCACGCCGCCAGGTGCCCAGAATCGGCAATTGTGGAGATGCTTGGCGATCGAGAAGCCGCCGATCGTTCAGAACCAACGCGGTGTCAGAAATCACCGCAGGGGCAGTCACGACACGAATCTGCCGGGCATGAGGCGCGATACCCCCGTGGGTATGCCAGAGCGACTGCGCGGGCAGCAACGGCTAGAGAGAGAGAGGGGGAGAGAAGAGAGAGAGAGAGAGAGAGAGAGAGAAAGAGAGAGAGAGAGAGAAAGAGAGAGAGAGAGAGAAAGAGAGAGAGAGAGAAAGAAAGAGAGGTAGAGAGAGGAAAGAAACAAGACAGACAGATAGAGAGAAAAAGAGAAAGAGAGCTGTTTGGGAAGATGAGGTGGCCCAGGTCCCGGTTCCAGCCAGCAGAGAGAGAGGAGAGAGGGCCCCCCTCGTCGCCACGGTTGGCAGCGGCTTGAACAACTGGCCAGTTTCTACCCAGGAAGGCATCTGGGGACCGATTTTGAGCGGATTTGCCATTGCCCCCCTTTCGACAGATTTCTTCGCGGCCCATCCAACGCAGACCCCCGGGCAGTTCCAAAGAGAGAGAGAGAGAGAGACAGACAGAGAGATATCGGAGAGTCATTTCCAGATGGGTTGGGAAATATTGTTGCTTGTCTTGCATCCCTGCAGGCTATCCAGACACGGCCCTCAGCCGGGTTGTTATGATCAGGGAAGTGTAGGTGCATGCAGCGGAACAGAGCGTTTGAGCCTCAGGAGTCCCAAGAGTCATTAATAAAGGCCGTCGTGGATTGTTCGATCGAGGAGCATCGGGCATACTTGAGGTCAGTATGGAACTCGTGGGGCCCTTTCGGCCTCCGAGTTCTTCTTGGGCCACTTTTGGCGGACATTGATTGAAAATGGAGGGCTCAATTACGAAACATTGCCAGTGGATCACCCGCTTCGTTGAAAAGGGGGATGGGTTGATTCAACCGCCCCCGCCCCCCGCGCACCCTCTTCGAGGGGTCTGTTTTCTCCCACCACCTTTGGCGCCAGAGAGGGGGGCGAGGACCCCTCCCCTCATCCTCGCCTTTACGGTGGCAGACGGACTGGGACGGGGCGCGTTCCGGCGCATATTGGGGTGTCAAAATTCAAGTTTTTGGGTTCGGTTGTTCATTTAGAGCGTTAGAGTATTAAAGTTTCAGGTCTAGGGCGCCGAAGGATTTGCGTTGCGGGGTTCAGGGTTGTGGTAAGGGTGGTTGGTTCAGAGTCTGTGGGACAGGATTTTTGGGTTTGGGTGTTTAGGCTAGGTTAGTATGGTCAGATCATAAGGGTTAGGGTGTTAGGGTTTAGGTTTCAGGACTGGGGTGTCAGGATTCGGGTGTGAGGGTTGGGGGTCGAGGATTGTTTAGGGATAGGGTTAGGAGGGGGTGCGTCAGGGTGTCCAGGGTTTGGGCGCGTGTGGGTTAGGGTGGGTAGTGTGTTTACGGTTAGGGTCAGGGTGTGTTTTGGGTGTGAGATTTAGGGCGGTTGGGTCAGAGTTAGGGTGTTATGGTGAGGGTGTTGGAGTGGTGGGGTTCTGGGTGGCAGGATTGGGGTGTTAGGGTTAGGGTGTTAGGGTCACCTTGTGTTAAGTCGGGCTTGTCTCTCAACATGGGGAATATTGAAAAATAGTAGAACAAATTGTCGAGGGACTAGTTGTTTCACAATTGTTTTGCATGTTGGGGGTATTGTTTGACTATTTTTCATTTTCCGTCTAAAAAAGCGCCTGCGCCCGACCTAAATCTTGTGTTACCGCGATCATCCCCCCCTGGTCTAAGCCCTTCCTATCAGATCAACCTATCCTCTGATCGCGTCCACAAGGGCTTGCATCCTTTGACATTCCGAACACATCTGGGCCGCAACATGGCGATCTTGGGACGTGCCTGGGTCATGCTTCTATCCCTTTCCACAAGATCGGTTTGTGCAACAGTATGAACGCGCCAGCGCGATCTGATTCACCTGCTCCTTGACGCCTGCTGTGTCGACGACGACGGACAGTATAGATGCAGATGTGGATGTTGTTGCTGCGTGTGGCAATGGCGAGCTGGGGAGCGCTTGGGGAGCATATTCAGCGGCTGGGAACGCCTGGGCACGTCAGGGAGACCTGGGAGCGCGCTGTGAGGATCAGCCTCTGTCCACCGAATACTATCTGCTGCACGGGGTCGTGGGCCTTGGACGGATGTGAAGATGAGCAGGTGTGCACCGAATGTTTTATGCCTAGGATGGTGGTTGTTGGGTCGCCGTGCAGTTCAGCCGACGTCCACCAAACCGCATGTGCTCGCAAGGGATCGTGAGGGCTGTATGGTTATGAAGATCAGCAGCTGTGCACCGAATGGTTTTTGTGCTAGGGATCGTGACGTTCCGAAGGTCAACAATTCTCCAGCAAGCTGCATTTGTTGCAGAGCGATGCGAATATCAGAAAATGCCCACGCCATACAGCTCTGAGTTCAGACTCAGTTCAGAATGAGACCATGTTGCGATCAGCCGATGCGCGCCGCATCCCGTTTCCTGGGTAGTCGAAGGCCAGACTGTCAGATTGGATTGGGCCCCAAGGGCCAATCTGGCCCGGCCAAACTGGATGATTCGGGGTATTCGCCAGACTGGATTCGCGTTGGCTCCCTCGCCAGATTGCCCCCGTTTGCCAGATTGGGCCTGCCAGATTGGCGCCAGATTGGCTTCGACTACCCAGGCTTCTGCGCATGGGATCGCAAAAGGGATCGCGGTCATTGGCTCGGTTGGACCGGGTCGGGGGCCGGCCAGGGCGGACATTCATGGCTATGTCATTGTAAAGCTATACAGTTCGGGTGGTCGGGGCCATGTTCGGGTGATTCTTGTAAATGCCTTACTCTATTGGGGCAGGGCTTTCGGTTGTCATGACCCACGTAGGTTAGGTCGTTGGGATGGTAGGGTGTTCGGGTGAGGGCGTCTGGGCCACTTACTGTTTGCGCGGATCCCTCCCCCGGCCGTAAGGCTTAACAATATTATTTGTTTTTTAATACATTGTTATGTATGTATTCTGTAACGCCCTTCGCTGGGGTAGAATCCAATTGATCATCGCTGCGATTTGGAATATTGTGATGTCTACCGCGTGTCCACCCGCGTCCTCCCCCATCATCATCATCATCATCATCATCATCATCATCATCATCATCATCATCATCATCATCATCATCATCATCATCATCATCATCATCATCATTCCTTATTTCGTTCCGCCTGCTCCATCCTCGTATTATGTTATTCACGCTGATGTGTCCCTCCTCATCCCCCTTCTCGTCATCGTAGTCTTCCGCATTCCCCTGCTCGTTCTCCTGATGCCATGATCGTTCTCCTTGGCCTTATCCTCATCCCTTCTCCTCCTCCCCCTCCTCCTCCCCTGCCTTATGCGCAACTCCTCTTGTCTATGCCTGGAACATGTAGCATCCCCCCGGCCAGCTATACAGGTGACCTCCAGGTACCTTCCGAACAGCCATCCACAGCCCACTCGGAGCCTGTCCCAGGGCCCCCATGACAGCCATCCAGAGCCTAGTCACAACCAACTCTGGGGCCGTCCAGACAGTTACTGAGAGCCTATTCAGATCGATCCTGGAGCTCTCAAGACAACTATCCAGAGCTTACTCAGAGCCCATCCCAGGGCCATCCAGACAGCTATCCAGAGCCTTCTCAGAGCCTATCCCAGGGCCCTCAGGAAAGTTATCCAGAGCCTACTCAGACTTATCCTGGGGCCCTCTGGACAGCTATTCAAATCCTACTCAGACCTTTTCCGGGGCCCTCCGGACAGCTATCCGGAGCCTCATCAGAGCCTACCTTAGGGCGCTCAAGACAGCTGTCCAGAGCCCATCGCAGGCCCTCTGGTCAGCCCTCCAGCGCCTATTCAAAGCCTATCCGAGGGCTCTCCAGACAGTTGTCCGAGGCCCTCCGGCCAGCCATCCAAAGGGCCCTCCAGGCCGCTACCCAGAGCCCACTCAGAGCCTATCCCGGGGTCCTCCGGTCAGCTATCCAGGGCCCCAGGCCTTCCAGTCAGCTACTCTGAGCTTATTCTTGTGGAGGACGGTCAATGGAGAGGAAGCATGCTGCCAAATAACTTCTAGATGTCGAAAACATGTGTTGAACATGTAAACAACATGTAAAACAACATGTTTAAACAAAAAAACATGTTTAGAACATTTTTCGATATGTTAAACACATTTTACATTCAATGATAGGACTGTTAGGGTGTCCATTGTCGTGGCATCCACAAGTTTATTCAGAGCCAACCCCCAGGCCCCCCAGATCAGTATCCATGGCCCTCAGGTCAGTTATCATGGCCAGTCAGCTATACAGGGCCGTTTGGTCATGTGGACTCTCCAGTCAGCTATCCAAGGCCATCCAGGAGTCAGCTAATGTTCGACAGGTGTCCAGATCGCTGTCCGATAGGTGTCCAGATAGCTGTCCGATGGGTGTCCGATGGGTGTCACATACGTGTCCAGGTAGTCGTCTGTTAGGTGCCCGATAAGTGTACGACAGCTGTCTGGTAGGTTTCCAGATAGCTGTCTGATAGCTGTCCCATACGTGTCCAGATAGCTATCCAATCAGTGTCCGATCGGAATTCGACTGGTGCCAGATAGGTGTGCAGATAGCTGACCGATAGGTGTCCAGATAGATGTCCGAAGGTGTCCGATAGGTTCCAGATAGCTGTCCGATAAGTGTCAAGATAGCTGTGAGATAGGTGTCCCGATATCTGTCCGACAGGCGTCCGATAGGTGTCCAGATTTCTGTCCGATAGTTGTCCGATAATTATCCGAAAGGTGTCCAGATGATGTTGTCAGATACCTGTCCTGAGAGGTGTCCGATTGCTGTCCGATTGGTGTCCGGGTAGCTGTCCGATAGATATCCGACAGTTGTCTAGATCGGTGTCCAGATATGTTTATGATGCGTGTCCGACAGGTGTCCAGATAGTTGACCGATAGCTGTCCGATTGGTGTCCGGATAGGTGTTCGATAGGTGTCCAGATAGTTGCCCGATGGGCGTCCGGCATGTGTCCGATAGCTGTCTGGTAGGTGTTCAGAAAGGTGTTCGATAGGTGTCCTGATCTCTGGCTGCTGCAACTTGGATGACACCGATGTTTGATGGTAGACGCCGGGAAGAGTGCAGCGGACACCTATCGGACAGCTATCTTAACATCTATTTGGCACAGATTGGACAGCTATGTGAACACCTGTCGGACACCAATTTGAACACTTGTCGGACACCTACCGGGCAGCTATCACAACAGCTATCGGACAGCTATGGCTCACCGTTCGGTTTGGGCGAATGGGGTTTTGCGCTTTGTGTCCTGCCGCGGGTCTGGGGGCCAGTCCTTAAGTACGACAGCGTGCCGAAACTTGTCGGAGTCCATGAGTTCGATCATCCGTGCAGCCGTCAAGCCCGACTTCCAACACAGCCCTTGGACCACCCAAGCAGTTGGTGGTGTGCCAGTGCTGTACTGTTCGGGGCGCGGTGCGGTGGCGGTTCGCCGGGCTGCGAGGCTCCGTGACCCAGTGTGTCCCCCAGACCCTAAGAACAGAGACTTGGGTACGTCAAAGCGGGGGGATCTTCCAGGAGGCACTGGGCAGCAGCTGGAGCGACCCTGGCCTCTTCGAGGGACTTCCGCCCAACCGCCCGCAGGACCCTCAACCTCCTCCTCCTCCTACTCCTCCTCCTCCTCCGCCTCCTCCTCCTCCTCCGCCTCCACCTCCTGGGTTTGGCAACGCCTCTCCGAGCTCGGGGCATTCCGCCTTGGGCGGGGTTGGCTTCAGAAGGGTTCGAGGTTTGGAGGTCGATTCATTGTTCTTTGTTCTTTCTGGCAGGGTGGGTTTGACCTCAGGCCTCCCCGCCCCGCACGACGTAAAGCGGCGTACGAGGAGGGGGCAGGGGGATTGGCATTTTTTTCCCGATGGGGGAAGAAAGTGGGCAGATGCGCTGATGCTTCACGCTACACGTGTCCCCGCCAGTCTATTCGGAAACCTTGCTCACGAGAGTTGACGGGAGAAGGGATGAAGAAACACATGTCGTGAAGCAAAGCGGGCAACCAGGGTGAACATTGAAACCTCTGGGAGCAAGGCAGTGGCCTTGGAGGGCCCGCGTGGGGTCGAGGGAAGGAGGAGGAGGAGGAAGAGGAGGAGGAGGAGGAGGAAGAGGAGGAGGAGGAAGACGACGACGACGAGGAGGAAAAGGGGAAAGAGGAGGAACAGAAAAAGGAAGGCGATGAGGGCAAGGACGAGGACGAGGAGGAGGAGGACGACGACGACAACGAGGACGAGGACAGAGCCCCTCAAGTCTCCTTTTGACGCCGTTTTGGGCCCCATTCTCTCTTGGGCCATATTGGAATCATCTCGAGGCCCCGAAAGCACATCGGAAGCGAAACGGCGAGAGGGCAAACATCAGTGATGCTCCTCGGGTGTTTGAAGGGTCTTGGTTTGTTGGGACGTGCTGATGGGGCTCCGAGAGAACTTGGAACCGTCCTGTGGACCTCGTCGGGCCTCTTGGGGGCATGTCGGAAGCTATCTTAAACCATCGGCGGCCATCTTGAAACCATTTTGAAGGCCATTTTGGAGCATCAGAGGCCCCCTTGGAGCCATCTTGGGCGCTCTGACCGATCGCGAACCCCCAAAATATTTCAGGGGTTGCACATCGCGGAAAAGAAGAGGTTTTGGAAGAGGAAAGAAAGATCGCGCCAGACCACCATAGCCCAAAGGGCTGGTGGGACGCCTGCCTAGAGTCTATCGGAATCCTGGGGCCTTCGAGAAGGTGCGCAGGCCGTCCAGAGGGGCCTTGAAGATGTCTCTGCGTCACCTTGGGGTGTTTTCATCAGTCTCGAGGTTCTAACAGGGAGCTCAGTGGAATTGGCGAGCATCCAAGACCCCGTTGACCCCAGGGGGGTCGACGGATTCACACCAAGGAGGAGCAGCGCACGCACGGACGCGTGGACGGCCCAATCCCCGAGGCAAAGGTCCCAATCTTCGTGAGGGCCGAGGCAGTGGCCCAGCGGAGGGCGAAGGCCGAGAGCCAGGCGGTCGAAGGCGCAGAGCCAGGCGACGCCAGCCCAGAGGACGCCGCGCACGCCAGCGGAGGTCGCAGCACCAGGACCGAGGCTGCAGGGCCCGAGGGGGGCAGCGGTCGAGGGGCTCGGCGGCCCAAGCGGGTCGTCACGGCGGCGGCCAGCGCCACGAAGAGGCCGCGCGGCAGGCGAGCCGCCGCAGCCGAGCCTGCCGAGGGCAGGGCGGCTGGGGCGGGCGGCGCCGACCTGGAGGGCGCGGGGGACGCTCCGGACGACGGCGGCTGTCCCAGCATCGGAGGGCGCCAACGATATGCGCGAAGAGCCAAGCCAACAGCTGAAGAAGCACGAGCTCTCTGAGAGCCGCGCGGACTTCTGGGGTCGGGGTTGGGCGCCTCTGGCGGTGCCTCAAGCGCCGCCCTTGGCGCGTTCCGCGAGCCAGGGAGGGGGGTCCAGCCCCGATCTAAGAAATCCGCGTGGACCTCTGGGAAGTTCATGCCTACGCTTCATGCTGTTCCCCTCTTTCTATATGTATGAGTGTATGTGTGCATGCATGCATGCATGTATATATATATATATATATATATATAGATATCCATACATACAAACATACATACATACATACATACATACATACATCCATACATACATACATACATCCATACATACATGCATTTGTGTGTATGTGTGTATGTGTGTATGTGTGTATGTGTAGTTGCGTATGTGTGTATATGTGTATGCATGCATGGTTGTATGTACGTGGGTATGTATGTATGTATGTATGTATGTATGTATGTATGCATGCATGCATGCATGCATGTATGTATGTATGTATGTATGTATGTATGTATGTATGTATGTGTGGATCTATGTATGTATGTATGGTTGTATGTATGTATGTATGTATGTATGTATGTATGTATGTATGTATGTATGTATGTATGTATGTATGTATGTATGTATGTATGTGTGTGTATGTATGTATGTATGTATGTGTGTAGATATGTATGTGAGTATGTACGTACGTGTATAATGTACATGAATGCTAGATGTATGTGTATATGTATGCGTGTATGTACATGTGCATGTGTATATCCGTAAGGGATTCGCCCCATGCCGCCGGCCCCCTGTCTCCGATAATGGGAGATGCACAAGCTAAATCATGAGGTCTGGGCGCCGCCGTGAAGCAGTGTCGGGACCTCTTTGTTTTTCGACCTTGATCCTACGGATCCGCGTGAGGGGTGCCACCGAATTTCAGAAATGCCATGTGTTTTTCGACCCTGACCCTACGGATCTCCATGAGGGGTGCCGCCGAATTTCAGAAATGTGGCAAATCCCATGTGTTTTTGCACCCTGACCCTGTCGATCCGCGTGAGGGGTGCAACCGAATTTCAGGAATGTTGAACATCCTTTTGGTTTTCGGACCCTGACCCCGCCGATCTGCGTGAGGGGTGACATCGAATTTCAGAAATATTGCAATGTTTTTGGACCCTGACCCCGCCGATCTGCGTGAGGGGTGCCACCGAATGTCAGAAATGTGGCAAACCCCCTTGTGCTTTTGGACCCTGACCCCGCCGATCTGCATGAGGGGTGCCACCGAATATCAGAAATGTGGCAAATCCCATGTGTTTTTGCACTCTGACCCCGCCGATCTGCGTGAGGGGTGCCACACAATTTCAGAAATGTGGCAAATCCAATGTGTTTCTGCGCCCTGACCCTGTCGATCCGCGTGAGGGGTGCAACCGAATTTCAGAAATGTTGAACATCCTTTTGGTTTTCGGACCCTGACCCCGCCGATCTGCGTGAGGGGTGTCAATTTTTTCCCGCCCCAGCAATTCAGAGCATACGCTCAGGGCATGCTAAACCTGCCCGTTTGGGCCTCCCCTCCCTCGCGCGGTCCATCAACACGGAACAGTAAGCAGCAGGAAGCAGAATTGTAACAGTGGAAATTAGCAGCTGCAACTGGTACAGGAAACTGCGAACCTTCGGCCTACAGCCGGGTGGCCCCACGAGGGCCATCTCCTCGCCGAATACATATGTATGTGTCTGTGATTGTGTACGTGTATGTGTATGTGTATGTGTATGAATGTATGCATGTATATATGCTTGTGTGGATGTTTGTACGTAGGTGGGTAGGTATGCATGAATGTATACAAGTATGAAAGTATGCATGCATTTATGCATGTATGCATGTATGTATGAGTGTATGCATGTATGTAGGTATGCATGTATCTGTGTGTGCATGCATGGGTGTATGCATGTATGTGTGTATGAATGTATGTATGTAGGTAGGTAGGTAGGTATGTACGGTTGCATGCATGTATGATATGTATGTATGCTATGTATGTGTATGTATGTATGCTATGTATGTGTATGTATGTATGTATGTATGTATGTATGTATGCATGTGTGTACGTATGCATGTGTGTATGTTTGTGTGCGTGTCTGTGTACGCATGCATGCAAGCATGCGTGTATGTATGTATGTATGCAAGCATGTATGTATGCATGTATGCATGCGTGTATGCACGTATGCAATGAATGTATGCATGTGTGTATGTAGGCATGTATGGATGTCTGTATACATGCATGCATGCATGTGTGTATGCTTGTAATTATGCATGTGTGTATGTCTGTATGTGTGAGTGCATGTATGTATGTATGTATATATGCATATGTATGTATGTATGTATGTATGTATGTATGTATGTATGTATGTATTTATGTATGTATGTATGCATGCATGCATGCATGCATGCATGCATGCATGCATGCATGCATGTACGTACGTACGTACGTACGTACGTACGTATACATATAACGGCGCACCGGGTCCGGGGGCCCGGGGCCGGGACCTCTACCACAAATGTGCGCCCCGGGGGGCCCGGAGGCTCGTCGGGGCTTGCCGGAGGCCTCCCCAGTCAGACAAGACGGCCCAAGAAGCGCCCAAGACGGCCCAAGAAACTTCCAAGAGGCCTCCAAGAGGGCTCCGAGATGCTGAAGATGGCCTCCAGACGTCCAAGGAGGCCCCCAAGAGGCCCCAAGAAGCCTCCAACATGCGTCCCAAGAGGGCCCCTAGACGCAAAAATTGGCCCATTCCCTTCGTAAAACGTACATTTTCAACAAAGTTGTCTTTTGGGCTTTCCGACGTTACAGGACGGCCCAAGAGGCGCCCAAGACCGCCCCAAGACGGCCCAAGAAGCTTCCAAGAGGGCCCCAGGACAGCCCAAGAGGGCCCCAAGACGGCCCAAGAGGCGCCCAAGATGGCCCAAGAGGGCCCCAAGACGGGCCCAAGAGGGGGCCCAGAGGGGGACCACGAACCGCAAGCTCGAGCCTTCCGCCCCAAGAGGCCGCCAGGAGGCCCCCAGGAGGCCCCTCAAGAGGCCCCAGGAGACCCCAGACGTCCAAGGACGCCCCCAAGAGGCTCCAAGAAGCCTCCAACATGCGTCCCAAGAGGGCCCCTAGACGCAAGAATTGGCCCATTCCCTTCGTAAAACGTACATTTTTAACAAAGTCGCCTTTTGGGCTTTCCGACGTTACAGGACGGCCCAAGAGGCGCCCAAGACCGCCCCAAGACGGCCCAAGAAGCTTCCCAGAGGGCCCCAGGACAGCCCAAGAGGGCCCCAAGACGGCCCAAGAGGCGCCCAAGATGGCCCAAGAGGGCCCCAAGACGGGCCCAAGAGGGGGCCCAGAGGGGGACCACGAACCGCAAGCTCGAGCCTTCCGCCCCAAGAGGCCGCCAGGAGGCCCCCAGGAGGCCCCTCAAGAGGCCCCAGGAGACCCCAGACGTCCAAGGACGCCCCCAAGAGGCCCCAAGAAGCCTCCAACATGCGTCCCAAGAGGGCCCCTAGATGCAAAAATTGGCCCATTCCCTTCGTAAAACGTACATTTTCAACAAAGTTGTCTTTTGGGTTTTCCGACGTTACAGGACGGCCCAAGAGGCGCCCAAGACCGCCCCAAGACGGCCCAAGAAGCTTCCAAGAGGGCCCCAGGACAGCCCAAGAGGGCCCCAAGACGGCCCAAGAGGCGCCCAAGATGGCCCAAGAGGGCCCCAAGACGGGCCCAAGAGGGGGCCCAGAGGGGGACCACGAACCGCAAGCTCGAGCCTTCCGCCCCAAGAGGCCGCCAGGAGGCCCCCAGGAGGCCCCTCAAGAGGCCCCAGGAGACCCCAGACGTCCAAGGACGCCCCCAAGACGCTTCGCGTCACCAATTTCTTCTCGCAACGATTCCTGGGTCTGTGACTCGACAGAACCTAAGCGCGCGCGAAGCGCGCGCGTGGTTCTAGTAGGTATGTATGCTTGTATGTCTGTCTGTCTGTCTGTCTGTCTGTCTGTCTGTCTGTCTGTCTGTCTGTCTGTCTGTCTGTCTGTCTGTCTGTCTGTCTGTCTGTCTGTCTGTCTGTCTGTCTGTATATATGTATGTATGTATGTATGTATGTACCGATCCCTGCCATGCCAGCCCTGGCCCCAGGAGTGGTGCACATGCCGTCCTCGCCAAGCGGGGAGGGCGTGTGCACTGGTCCTGGGCCCAGGAGGGGGCCGGCTAGGAGCGGTGCACGGGTGCAGAGTCGGAGCCCTCCGACAGCACGAGGCGCAGGAGCGTCGAGCCAGAGGAGACCAGCTTGGGCGCTCCCCCAGGGCCCTCGCCGAGAAAAAAAAATGCACACGCCCGGGCGATGCCAGGCCTCCGCGCCTCGTAGTCCACGGCCAGCGCCAGGCCAAACCCGCCCCGCCCCTTTCCCAATCCCCCCCTCTCATCCGGCCCGACCATAGATCTTGGGCGCCCGAGTTATCCGGTGTAACTCGGGTCCGGGGTAACGCGGGTTTGAATAATTCCCGAAAAAGGAGCCCGAGTTAGCCCTGACCCGAATTACCCCTGATGATGTGGGGCTCTGGACGCCCGAATGATCCGGGGTAACTCGGGTCCGGGGTAAGTCGGGTTCGGATTTCCGGAAAACGAACCCGAGTTAACCCTGACCCGAGTTACCCCTGATGATTCGGGGCTCTGAGAGGAGACCAGCGGCCAGGAGCCCCTGCGGCCCGAGCCGGCAGCCGGGACCGCGGCCGGCGCCGAGGAGCGGCCGCCCGCCGGGGCGGCAGCGCGAGGGGCGCCGGCAGCCGCGGGGGCGCCGGGCGAGGCAGCTGCTGGGCGCCCCCGCCGAAGCCGCAGCTGCGGTGTGAGGAGGCCCAGGCGAAGGATGACCCCCCCAAAAGTCGGGGGCGGAAAAGAGGGGGGTGATGACTAGGGGGGGGGTGGATATCATGGCGGGGGCCATGAAATATCTCCCCAGACATCGTGGCGCCTCTTCTGATTTTGTTACGTCCCTGGCCCCCCCGCTGGGCCGCGCACATGCCGCCGGTCATGATTTGCACCCCCCCTCTTGGACACCCCCCTCTTGGCCGCTCCGAAAAATGTAGTTCGAACAGAAACAGGGCCGAAATCCAGCTGACCCCACCTGGGCACTCTCGTGCCTGGGCCTCCTCACTCCGGTGGCGGCGAGGCTCTGGGCCTCCCATGTGGGGCCCGAGCAGAAGGGGGTCGGAGGATCGCTCCGCCTCGCAGATGCATCGGCGATGCGGAGCGGTGCGGAGCCCGATGTGCTCCACGCCGATTCAAGCTGTGGCGAAGCGTCTTGGCGTGCCTATAGGCCTACCAAACAATGTTCGAAGAACCTTTTGTGGTTTCCACGGAATGTTCTTAGAACATGTCTGGCTGGGACTGTCTTGCTTTAACTCATCGGGTCTATGTTCTAAGAACGTTGTTCTTAGAACATGTTTGGGTTCGAAACATATTTCGTGGCTCGTGGCAGGCCTATAGGAATGCCAGGACGGTCGGTCCCTGCTCAACCGACGTCGCCGATGCACCGCCAGCGTCGCCGATGCATCGGAGATGCGGCGCGATCCTCCGACCCAATCTGCTCGGGCCCCATCTAGGAGGCCTCTAGAGGTGGAGGGTGCTGCGGGCAGCCGCGGAGATCCCAGCGCCGCGTGCGAGGCCCAAGCTCGAGGGAAGGGGCACAAGGGCCATGACCGAGATGCCGCGGGATCTCGGCGTCGTCGTCGTCATCTTCCTCGTCGTCGTCGTCGTCGTCGTCCACCCGCGCGCACTCTGCGGCGCGCCCTGCGATCTTGACCTCTGATCGTGGTCCATGCAGGCCGTCGCGATGATCCACGAATCGAAGATGACGAAGATCGTCACCGAGGTTTCCGCGTTCAGCCTTGGTCATGGTCCTCGTCCTCTTTCCTTCCACAGGCGCCGGAGTGCCCGAGCGGCGCCGGGAGGGCGCAGCGCGGCACTCGGGCGCAGGAGGCGGTGCTTGCGCGGGCGGGAGATCCCAGCGATGGAGGTGCTGTGGACCCTTGCCATGGCATCTCCGGTGACGACGAGGTGTTCTGGAGGCGCTTCTCGCCCTCCCAGGTGGACTTTGCAAGGTGAGGGACGCAGACAAATGGGGTCGTCTGCGGCAGCATTCGCGCGTAGTTAAGCGCCGCGTAAGACGGCGCGTAGTTCAGCGCCCGCGTCTCCAATGCAGCGTGCCACGCTGGCGACCCGTCCAAGGCGCGGCGTAAGCTCACTATTAACTCACTATGTCGCAGTGCGTATGACCGCTTTCTTTTCGTCGCTCAGGTGCCTCGCGCGCGTCTGGGCGGACGGCCGTGGCGGGCAGTGCCGCTCGAAGCGCACCTCCGCCGATCAGGACTACTGTGCGATCCACTCCAAGGCGGAGCAGCGGACGCACGGGCGCGTGAACGGCCCGATCCCAGAGGCGAAGGCGCGCTTCTTTGCCCTGGCCGAGGCGCGGGCGCGGAAGAGATCGGAGAGCAGGGTGGCGGTGGACGCAGGACCAGATCGAAGAACAAACAATCGCATAATCATAGAATGTCGGAGGTCCGTGCGGACTTCTTGGGTCGGCGCTGGGCCCCCCTGGCGGCGCCGGAGGCGCCGCCCCTGGCGCGCTCCGCTCGCCATGGTGGGTGGGGGGGCAACGTCGATCTAAGAAATCCGTACGGACCTCCAAAAGTGTATGTGCGATGTCATTGTTTGTTCCTCTAACGCAGATGGCGCAGAGACGGCGGGCACCGCCATCGTCGCGTCAAACACGTAAGCCATTGCCGTCGGCATCATCATCACCATTATCATCATCATCATCATCATCATCATCATCATCATCATCATCAGCATCATCAGCATCATCATCATCATCACCACCTCACCACCAACAGCATCACCGCCACCATCATCAGCAGCATCATAATCAGCAGCAACATCATCAGCAGCATCACCAGTATCTGCATCTGCCGCTCCATCTGCACCTTCAGTACCACCATCATCATCAGCAGCATCATCATCTGTGCCACCATCATCATCTTTATCATCATCATCATCATCATCATCATCATCATCATCATCATTATCATTATCATTATCAGCATCAGCATCATAAGCACCAGCATCATCAACATCATCATCATGAGCAGCATCATCATCATCGGCATCGGCATCGGCATCATCATCAGCATCATCATCAGCATCAGTTTCACCAGTTACATCATCGTCAGCATCATCAGCATCAACATCAGTAGCATCAGCATAATCAGCACCATCATCTTTCGCAATCATCATCTTATGTGGCCAAGTCGTACGATATACGCAATGTTTGGTCGACTGCCTCTCACCAGTGTCTCATAGCTGCTCACACTGCCCGATGCGATGACCAACATGTGTAACATCTTCTCGAGCAGCATCGAGATCAGTCCGTAGTTTAACTCCAGGCCTCTGATGCGAATCTTGCCCTTCGGCCAGGCAGAGGAGGGAGGGCCAGGGATTTGAACGATCCTGGGTGGCTTATCTACGGCCTTCATCCTGGTGCCCGACAGCTCCGCCACCCAGGCCTTGCAGTCTGCCACCATCGACAGCAACACGCTCTCCCAGGCCCTGGACTTGGGATTGGTATCCCTGAGGGTCCACGGATCCACCAAGGATCGGGTATAGCCAGGGCTCCGGTAAAGGGGAGCCGGTTAGCGATTTGGCCCCGAAGCCCAAAATATGGACTGGAATCACTGAACCAGGTCTGCCGTAGCTGGTGTTTTTCGAGTGACGGCAGTTCCGGTTAGTGGAATTGGGCGGGGGGGGCGTTCCCCAGTGCGCATCACTAAACCAGGTCAAACTAAACCCAGTCTTGCCAACGCCCGAAAAAAGGCCAGGCGTCGAATCTCCGAGAACGGTGTTCAGGATGTTCCTCATCTTGGGGTTACGCCCATGTGGCCAACAGCAGCTGTCGTGGAATCTTTGCCCGTGTTCAGTCTGGGGGTGTAGGATGGACCCGCTTGGGCGAGTACTGTTTCTCTGGAGGCCCTTGGAAGGCTAAACGACTCACCTTCCTCTCCATCGTTCTGGGGAGTCTCTGGCCAGGTTCGGAAATCTACGCTCTGCACCCACGGGGAATACATCGTTCCGATCGTTCTATCACACGTACGTTAAGAGCCATGATGAAAGAGATTACTCATCATATCGACGAACAGCACGCCGACCATCATGGCTCGACATTGCAGGCGTTCAAAGAGTGGCAGGTCGTCCGTATTTTGATAGCGCTTCTCGTGCGCACACTGATATGGTGACAGGGTATAGCCGACAATCCACCTCACCATTTGCATTTCGTCGCGATATGTTTGGACGATACCAGTTCGAGCAGCAGGCGGCCAAAAGCAACCGCCCTGTCAGCGCAGCCAAAGTAAACACGCAGGGCGTTCTTGCAGTTGGCAAGATTACTCATTCACCCGTGGGCAAAGCAGGTCGCGGATGATCTTACATGCTTGGTCTCACACTTTCTCGGCGAGAATTTCCAGGAGAGGTGGCCGCCGCCCTTTGTGATAAACCATTGGGGAAACGAGTGTGTGCGAGAAGATTCCAAATCGATTGATGTGCGCGCTCTTCGTTTTTTCTTGATGACCAGATGGGCCCCTCCACCACCAGTCAGCTCGCCCAGGCTCTCCTCTCCGCGGCGGTCCTCGCCGAGACAGACAGACGGCGACAACGAATTAGTATGCCCGCTCACATGCGACATTGAACACTGTGGCATGTGATTCGGCGCCATCAAGCAGCTCGTGGCACGTCGAACAACAATCAGGGGAGGCGGGACACGGGCTATCATCTTTACCCCATACCCCCCAGTTGGACAAGACATGCGTAGTGTGCCAAGCTGTGTTCCCAAGCGCTACGACATTTACGACGAGCATGACAGACAGGCGGGTGTAGAACCGAACGCGCACAGCATGTGCGCCCATGGACTATCACAACATGTACACCATGCCCACAACATGGGTATGAGATTGACCCAGCACGCCACCATGAATACCATGAACTTCATAAGCTACGGGCCCACGTTCTCAACCATATATTTCCGTCGCCACCAAGACAGCTTCTCATGCCAGTTGCCAGGGCCAAGACACGCCCGACGCACAGTGGCCCCGTTCTGCCACCGACACCGCGGACACAGTTTTTTCAGCGGTCGCGAACCATGGAGCACGCACGCGGCGCACGGGCGTGTCTGAGGCGTTCTGTCGACGTCGTTTTCAGCTCTAGAGTTGCATCAGGCAGGAAAGCACGAGCTGCGCGGCCTTCGCGCAGGTTGCCCACAACGGCAGCATCGGCAGGCCTTCGACTACGCGAGCGACCTTCGACAGCGGCGCCGACTCTTCTGTTTCCACCAGCAGATGACGAGCGAACAGCCCATGGAGAAGTCACCAGCAACGCCGTCGCAGGCTCGTCGGGCATCGCGGCGCCTCCTCCGTGCGTCTCCGACGGTATCGGGGGCATGTGGGAGCGCATCCAGGCCGCGGGCGGGGGCGGAGGCACCGCCAGTAGGCAAGCCCCGCCTCGCGCAATCCCCGCCGCCCCGAACGGCAAGGGGCCCGTCCGAGCCGTTCCCAGTCGGGGCGCAGGCCGCGGCGGCGGGCGCGGGCGGGGGCGCTCGAGGAGCCCCCGAGAGGAGGAGGCGCGGCGGGCGCATGGCTCGGCGAGGCGAGCATGGCGAGAGAGTCTGGAACTGCAGAGGCAAGAGCCTCGTCGCCCCGCTGGGCCCAAAGCTACAGCTGGTGCCCCAGAGCTCGCACAAGATGCCCCCGACACAGCAGCATTGGCATCGATACCGACACCGCGCGTACTAAACACCCCCTTTTCATCGACGCGAATCGAACGAGCTGGAGAGAGACAGGCAAACGCTGGACCTGGTGCGGCGGGGGACCGCCGAGGACAAGAACCGCTTGAAGGAGATCGGTTCGCCCGCGCCGCCCTTGGGCCCCACGGCCCTGGACGGCCTCCACAGGCGCGGCTTCGGAGGCCAGCTGGGGCAAGAAATCGCAGGGCACCAGGAGATGGCCCAACCCGCGGGCAAATAGTTTTTGCATTTAAACACCCCCAGGACGACCTCCAGCTCGCCATCAGTGTCATGCGCCTCGAAAGTGCCCCAGCAGAATATGGAACTCATCATCGGGGCCCTCGATTGGGTCAGCCGTTCGCTGATCCAGCGCTCGATGGCGCCCGAGGGCAAGCCGACCCACCACCGCAGCGCGACGCCAGCAGGATGGCTCGCGGAGAAAGTGGAACCTTTGTTGGAGACGCTCGGGCAGTGATATTCGTGAGTGGCGCGCCTCGCCCAGCCAGCAGCATCGGCGTCAACATTACCTACGCATCCTTATCATCTGCCGTCGCTGCAGCCAGTGTTGTTGCTGTATACGTGCCAGCGTACGCTGGACAGAACCCTCACCAACTGGAGGAGGTCCCGACCACGCATAGGTTGTATCAGGATGCTGTCGCCGAGGATGAGGCCACCGCTTGTCTTCACGAGTAGGCCCCTTCCGTACGCCCAAAGGCTGAGCAGCGCAGCCCTCTTGTGCCGGCACCATTCCGACGTGGCAGCGTGTGGGGCATTAAAAGACCGTCTGGCCTTCTGCGACGAACCGTACTTGTACTCTGCAACTTTGCAGCCTGGTTTCGTCATGGCGCCGAGGAAAACAATCAGCATCGTCACTATCATCGCCGCCCCCTTCTGGATCCGTTTCGGGGAACGCCCGTCGTTAAAATTGGAAAAGGCGCAGACAACATTTGCATGCCCGTGCGCAGTGATGGCGCACCCACGTCGAGAAGCGAATCCCATCTTCGCTAACCTTGTCAGCGCCTCGCGGCGAGGGAGCGGGGACGAAGACGAGGGCAAGCAGGATGAATAACGGCAGCGTAATGAGGAGGATGGGCATGAGGACGGGAAACGGTGGGCGAGCCGCACATTGTCTTGTTCATGTCCCGTTCCCCCTTTCCAAGTCCTGTTTACTCGTTGCCACCCCCCCTTCCCACCCAGCCTCTCTTCCTCCGTCCGCTCCCCCCCTTCCCCCTCCCTCAAATCCAGTCCAGCCCAACTTATATCCGTTTGATTCGACCCCCCTTGGGTTGCCGCCCTCGCCCGGACAATAACATTCGTTCCCCCAAATCCAGTGACCCTTCCTCATGGCACCCCCACCCATCCAAACCATAACCATGTTCAGGAACCATCGTCATATACATGGCCAACATCACCATCATCAACCGCAGGTTCGTTCATAATCATCGTCACCAACACCATGATGATGAGCAACGTCATCACCCGCCGCAGAGCCAGGGTCATCCGCATCCCTCCGCATTACTTTTCCCCCTGTCCTCTCCGACCTCCCCTCCCTCCTCCGTTTCCCTCATCCTCGCCTATCCATCCCCTGGAGGTGCCCCGGTTTCGCCCCGTCCGCCGCCGCCGCCGCGCCCGCCCGCCCGCCTCAAGCACCCGCCTGGCGCCGGCGCCGTCTGAGAGCACAGACGGGGGGGGGTGGCGCGGGGGGGCCGCGACCCACCGTGCGGCCATGGCCGTGCCAAGGCGGCGGTTCCCTTCAGCACCCGGGGGGGGGAAGGAGGGGGGGAAGTCCTGGGTAAAGGGGGTTTTGGAAGAGCTGCGCGTCATCATCGTCGTCGTCGGCGGCGGCGGCGGCGGCGTCGGTTGCGGAGGCGGCGGCGGCGGCGGCGGCGGCGGCGTAGTCATCGTAGTCGATGGTGGCGGCGTTGGCGGCGGCGTTAGCGCGGCGTCGGCGTCGGTGGCGTCGGCTGCGGAGGCGGCGGCGGCGGCGTAGTCATCGTAGTCGATGGTGGCGGCGTTGGCGGCGGCGTTGGCGCGGCGTCGGCGTCGGCGGCGTCGTCGTCGTTGGCGGCGTTGGCGGCGGCGGCGGCGGTGGCAGCGGCGGCGTCGGCGCCGTCGTCGTTGGCGGCGTCGTCGTTCCGTCATCGTCGTCGTGGTCGTCGTCGTCGTCGTCGTCTCGTCGTCGTCATCCTTCTCCTCGTTCTCCGCTTCCGCCTGCGAGTCCGCGTCCGCGTCGTCGTCGGCGTCGGCGGCGTCATCGTCCTCTGTAAAGAACCCATCGGATGGGTGGGGAGGGGAAGACCTCGCAGGGCCCCGTCGACTTGTGAGCAGCAATTGTTTCGTCTTCGATCCTTCGAGCCGCCTGCTACGCCGCCCAGGAAACAACAGCTTCGGTGCCCCTGTTGTCCCACTCCCTTCCCCGAGTGGCACCGGCGCCAGCTCAACGCCAGGCTGGCGGAGCAGGAGGAGGAGGAGGAAGGAGAGGGAAAGAGAAAAAGAGGGAACAGGAGGCGGGAGGAATAGGAGGGAGGAGGAGGAGGAGGACGAGGAAGAGGAGGAGGAGGAGGAGGAGGAGGAGGAGAGCCGTTGTCCGACTCGGGGGTGCGGACCCTCGCCAGGCTCTCCACACAGGGGCGGGGGGTCCCGCAGCGGGCGACAGGCTAAGCGCGGCGCCCGGCGGTGGCGGCCAAGGAGCCTGCGATGCACCACGTCGCCGCCACGGTCTCCCCCGCCGGCAGAACCATCGAGTCCGCCGACATCGATGCGTGCAATGCCGCTGGGGGCGCCCGCTTGCGCAGAGCGCTGGGCGGCCAGGAGCCCAGCGGAGGGCTGGGTGTGCCGATCTGGGCGCCTCGGCGGCCCGAAGTTTGGCGCGGAGGCGGCGACTGCCAGAAGTCGCGGAGGCGGCCGTGCGCCGCCTACGTAGTGCAGCAGCAGCAGCAGTGCCGCAAGAGCTTCCACCTGGAATGGGCGCCGCATGCTCCTCCAAAGAGTCCCTCCGCGAGCTGGCCCTTGCAGGGGCGCACGAGCGCAGATATGCGCACGAGCGCAGGGTTGCGCACCACCCTCTCTTACGCGGAGGCCGACTCCGTCGGGCGGTGCAACTGCGGCGGCGCCTGCGTTCGCCCCGAACCCCGTCTCCGACCCCAGGCAGACGGAGGGCAATGCCAGTGGCCGGCAGGAGGGCGCGCACGAGAGCGCCACCCACGAGGAGCCACAATCTCGAACTGCTGGCCGGCGCAGGCACTGGCGGCCGAGGCCGAGAGCAGCAAAACGACGCGAAGATCGGGACAAAATCGGATCGGGATAACTCGAAATCTCTGAGAATCGGCGGGTTTGAAGGATGTATTGGGCGCCGCGGCCGCTCCAGAGCGTTCCGGAACGCTCTGAGAGCGCTCCAGAACGCTCTGGAGCGATTTATCCCGATCCTAGCCCTGTTTTAGCACCCGTCTCCTCCTCCATCGCGCGCGGCTCTTCCAGCCGAGCCCGGGGGGCTGGCACCCCGCGGCGGCAGGCCGCCAGGCGCAGGCCTGGGCCTGCCCGGGCGCTGCGCGCCGGGCGAGCGCCGGACAGGCCTCCCAGGCGCCCTGCTGCTCCGGGCTCGCGGCGATCAGGAAGGTACCGACGAGGACGGCTATCGTAAAACGACGCGAAGATCGGGACAAAATCGGATCGGGATAACTCGAAATCTCTGAGAATCGGCGGGTTTGGAGGATGTATTGGGCGCCGCGGCCGCTCCAGAGCGTTCCGGAACGCTCTGAGAGCGCTCCGGAACGCTTTGGAGCGATTAGCCCTGTTTTACTATCGGGAGGACGCCGCGGAGGACCCCGAAGAGGGCAATGCGGGGGGCTGGACCACCAGAACGACACCGAGGAGGGCGAGGAGGACTGCGCCGAGTCCTCAAGAGGGCAGCGCGGCGGAGGCGGACGGGCAGGCTGCCGCCGAGCAGAGCGGTGCCCCTGGCCGCCCCATGGGCGAGGTGCGCAGCCACGGGGCGCGGCAGCCTGGGCCCCGCGGCGAGGGTCATCGGCAGCCCGAAAGTTCCTCCTCCTCCTCCTCCTCCTCCTCCTCCTCCTCCTCCCCGCTTGTTACGGCAGGTTGCGAGTTCTCAGCCAGACCAGAGGTGACAGGATGGGGTTGCAGCTTGCGCCCGCAGTGAATTGCCGCGACGGCCCCGTGCTCCAGATTCACACGCTCACGGGCGGCCTCTGCCAGGAGTGGAACGACAAGCACACGAGAGCGTTTGTCCACCTTGGGGACCGAATCGTCTCTGCAAACGGTGACTGCCACAACGTTGATCATCTCAAGGCAGAGTGTCTGAAATTGCTCAAGCTAGAAGTCCCCTTCTCGGCGAAAGGCCACCTCCTGGTACGCATCCAGGGTCCATTCGACAGTGCGCAACCCTGCGCAATTATATGCACACCATCTTAATAAATACTTGCTCACCAAAAAGCTCTGATAACGACGAGGCACACTTCTAAACCGATTCTGGCGCATCGCCAGGAGACCAGAATCGTGCATACACCGACGCTGCGCTCCAAGAGCTGGGCGCCATCGCCTGCTTCCCCAGGGCCCATTACGGAGTTCGCGGTCAGAGGGCAAAGGTGTCAAGCCAGAAATAGTCGCACAAAAAGCACCGAGACGGGAAGGTTCCAAACAGAGTTCGTTGTGCTACGTGCGTTGTGCTAGCACAGTTTTGGGGGGATGAAGTTGCTGAGGTGAACCGCCCCGCTCGGAGCCTCTCGAACCGCCAGTTACAGGCTACCTGGCGCACAGCCCAACTGTCCCGCCCAGCGCGCACCTGACGCCCTGACGCCCTGACGCACGTGCGTCGGAGTTCTATGAGTTGGGGATGGGGTGCTTAAGAAAATCTGGTTCGTCTCAGCGATCGTCCCGTTGCCCCGCCCAAGCATAGAGGCAAAGACGATTCTCGAAAGACACTTTCGAAAGGCAACTCTGGTGCTCTGAGTGTCGCTCGGGGGTGGACAGACCTCCTACCCTGACACGTCGATTAGCGAATCGGCCGTTTTCGGTTCGCGAGAGGGCTTGGCGGCCGTCATTTTTGTGGGTCCAGGCCCGTCGGTTTCGGTCCCAGGCCGTTTTCACTGAGGGGAGGTTTGCTAAAGGGAGGTCGGGCCAACCCAGCCTGGTAGGGCAGCGCCACGGCGTGCCCGCCACTGGGCGCCACCACAGAGCGCCTGGAAGGCGCTACGGCGCCTTCCATAAGACGCCCGTGGCCACTGAGCCGTGCGTCCGGACGCGTGGGCAGAAGGGTGTGCGATTAGAAAATCCTCAGGAAAATATGATTGAAATGACATTGCAGAGCGACTGCGTGCCCGCACAGACCCGACTGGGAAGCAGAAGCGGAATGCCTCACGACCGTGTCGCGGAACAACCAAGCGCATCACGATTGTGAGGCAGAAAACAAGGCGCATCACGACTTCGGAATTCAGAGTGGAGGGAGACGGAGAGAGACAAGACGCCCGTGGCCTATTTTCTCTTCACTTCCCTCTTCCCATACCAGAACGCCTCGCCTTCTCCCTCTCCTATACCTCTACGCGTGCCCGCGGCACGCCCCCTCCCCCCCCCCTCGTGGGGGGCCGGGCGGCTGGATGGGGGAGTGGGTGTTGTGGAGCGGAGCTCGAGGTGGAGTAGGAGGAGAAGCGCGACTTCTCAGCCATCCGCCCTGCCAAAACGCGAGCACCACCGCGGGCAGACGCATCGAGGCCCTAGTTTGATCACCCCCCCCCAGGGACACTGGCCCCTGGGGGAGGGGGCTCCGTCACCAATGACCCTGGAGCCGCCAGCCTAGCGTCTAAGAAGAGAGGGAGAACGA